GGAGTCGTGATCTGCTGAAGCACACTTCAACTGACCCCATATACAACTGTTTGATAGCTCCCTGAGGACCACATCCAAGCTCCTTGGCATAACATTCAAGGTCCTTTATTATCTCTCCAGCCCTTTGTCTTGATGAGCACCCTCCCCCAATTCTATATGCACTTTCTGACAGTCCTGAGAATATGCCAGCCTGTTTCACATTTCCTTGCCTTTGTTTATACTATTGCCTCAGTCAAGAAAGCTCTGTAATGCATGAAGTCCTGGGTTCAATCCTCAGTACCACTGAATGAATGAATGTCTGTCAGTCTGGGCCCAATCAGGAGAGGGAAACCATGCAGTAAGCACATAGGGAAAGCTTAATATAATGACTTTGAATCATAATAGGAGATTGAAGTAATAAGGTGTTGATTAGCAAAAGAAGTAAGAGAACTCTAAGGAATATAGGAGTAGGAGTAGCAGAGTCTTGAGGCTGAAATAGAACCCAAGGAAGAGGTCCTCACTCCTCCACTCCTGTCTAAGGCCAAGATCCATACTATGCCGAACAAACAGGACATGATGAATCTAGAGCTAAGAGGCAATGAAAGCAACACCAATAACCTGTACAGGCCCAGTGCCTCATTCACCTTTGAAGGATCAAATATTCATTTTTAAGATTCAGTTCAAATGTTACTTCCTCCATGAAGACTTTCCCAGTCCCTTTTCCCTTTCTGTCCAGGTAGAACCAGTTTCTCTTCCTTTGTTGAGTGTAGACTTCCCCCCCTCATTGGCATGCATACTTGAACCCCAGTCATACTTCTACTGGAGGAACTTTCAATGGTTGATTTCTTTTCTATTTATTTATCTACCTCCCCTCAGCATTGCCAGAAAAAATTCAGGACCCTCAGTTAAATTCAAATTTCAGATACACAACAAATTTTTGTATAAATATATCCCAGTCATTACATGAGACATTTTAAAAGAAAAGTATTTATCATTTATGTATAATTCAAATTTAACCAGATGTCCTGTATTTTTGTTTGCTAAATCTGGCAACATTACCCCGACATCTATTTCCAACTATGGCTTCCTTGATGGCAGAACATGTTTCTACTGATCTCTGAATCCTCACAGATTGCCTAATATGTGACAGTGCTCAATTAAAGTTAAGAGATTAGAGACATTTCTGGCTGCAGGATTGATATTAATTGGAGAGAGTTAAGCAATAAACCAACTGAAAAATTATGAAAGCTTCAATAGAATGGTATTGGGGGTAGAGAAAAGGGAAAATACCTGCAAGATCTAGGGTGATCAGTGGTTGAGGGATGCGACAGAGCTCTAGAAGTCTAACATGTCGCTTAAGTTTCTGTCTTGTGTCATTGGATGGAGTTTGGTATATTCGCCAAGGGGAGAATACTAGAGGTGGTGTGGAAGCTGGAAAGCAGGGAAGCTCATTGATGTGAGGTGCAGAACAGGGTAGAGAAGAGTGGAGGGTAGATGTAAAGGAGAAAACAGAAGATATCAAGACAGATGTATGAAGCTTGAGGTTTCCAAAGCTATGCAGGTAGACATTGAAATTACAGACTTGGGGCTCAGGAGAAAGGTCTAGGATGGAGATAAAATGTGAGCATGGTTAGCATGGATGGTGGTAACTGAAACCATGGAAGCAGATAATGTTGCCCAGAGAGAAAGAGAAGAGTGGGAAGAGGAGAGAGTCAATTTCAGAGCCCTGAGAAACACCTAAGAGGCAGAGAGAGGAAGAACCCAAAAGTAGTCAGAATGAGCAACTGAAAGAATAGAAGGAAACCAGATGAGTATAAGATCAAGAGAGTCAAGGAGTTAGATGTGGTGGCACATGCCTGTAATCCCAGTGACTTGGAAGGCGAAGGCAGAAGGATCAAAATCTATAAGGCCAACCTGAGCGATTTAGGAAGATCATTTCTGAAAATAAAAAATAAAAAGGGCTGCGTATATGGATATATACCTCAGTGGTATAGTGCCCCTGAGTTCAATCCCCCAGTACTCAGGAAAAAGAGACAGAGAGAAAGACAGATGCAGACACAGGGGAAAGTAGGTTTTTTTTTAATAGATTTTGTATTAGTCTGTGAGAGAGAGAATTTTTTAAATATTTATTTATTTTTTTTTAGTTTTCAGCGGACACAACATCTTTGTTTGTATGTGGTGCTGAGGATCAAACCCGGGTACGCATGGCAGGCGAGCGCACTACCGCCTGAGCCACATCTCCAGCCCGGGAAAGCAGTTTTTCAAGGAGGGTTGACAAAATTGAGTGCTCCTGAGTGTTCAAAGTATTAAAGGCTGAGAAGTGGCTACCGGGTTTAGAAGGACAGGGTCCCTGGTACTTCAGCAAAAGCTCTTTTAGTAAAGGAGAGGTGGCAGCAGATATATCTATCTACCTATGTAGATGTCACAGCATCATCTTTAAAATAATGAGGTATATTTGAGCCAGTATAAACTGAAGGAAAGGAGAGATGAGATAGAAAATGGTTGAAGTGTGGGGGGCATTGTAAATAGTTGAGTCAGAGAGCCCTGATATTGGAGCTGAATACACTTGGAGGAATCCAGCTACAAGAGGATATCCAACATAGTATGTAAAACAGGGCATGCCACCACAACATGGGGACTATGCACTCCAAATGGACAGCTAAATGAGATTTGGAAAGTATGTGGACTCCAGGCAAGGTGAAGCATACCTTTAATCCCAGAGACTTGGGAAGCTGAGGCATGGGGTTCACAAGTTTGAGGCCAGCCTCAGCAACTTAGCAAAGCCCTAAGCAATTTAATGAGACCACATATCAAAATAGGAAATAAAAAGGACTGGGGATGCAGCTCAGTGGTAAAGCAACCCTGGGTTCAATCCCCAGTATATATATACACACACACACACACAGTCTGTGCAACTCCCCTAAAATTGTTTACCAGATTTACGTTATCAGTGACATTTCTAGTATTTTGGTGGAGAGAAGGTCATAAGTTTCATCAGATTTTCAAAGGACTTCACAACTCCAAAAATAGGTTGAGACCCACACAGTTTCTCCTAAATCTCTTCTGATCACTCAACTTTCTATCTAACCTCTCCTTATCAAGATGAGACTTCAGTCAGCTAGTCCACACACTCTGCATCACAGGGATCTTTAGCTAGGAATAAGATGGCAATCCCTGGATAGGAAAGGAGGAAAGTCATTGGCAAGGGCATCTTCCAGACCAGGCAACTGCAGACAGTGGGAGTAAATAGAACCTGGAACTATGTATTCTGGATGAAATGAACATAGACAGGAGTTTGAGGTATTCTCTGAGCTGGAAAAAACTGTCATTTCAAAGCTGCCTATTATTTGTTGTCTTGCAAGAAGTGATAACTTGATATTCCTTTTTTGGAGACCATGCCCTAATTTTGGGAAAAATCAATCATTGGGCAATGTGTTTTTGCAAACGTGAAACAGAGATCAAAATAAAAAATGGAGATACCAGAGCCATGGAATTGACAGGATATTCTCAATATTCCCACCCAGACTTCTACATACTGTACGATATGGATACATTTTCTGTGGGGTATGTTTGTGGAAACTGAGGATCCTAAATCAGTTTAGAGGCAGAGATAGGGACCAAATGGGTATTTGAGAGCAAAAAAGCACCAAAGTTTTGGTGCATAGAACTTGGGCAGAAGGAGAGTCAGGCACAGTTTACCTCCTTGACCCAGAATAGGCCCTGCTTTCAGAGCTCTTGTGGCTCCTCACTAGCCTGGGTGAAGTAGCTTCTTGCCAAAGCAGGCAGGCACATGGGAAGAAATTTGTCAAGTGTTAAATGCCTGGGATCCCACCCCAACCTTGTCTCACTCATAAGGTACTCTCATGGACTCCTGGTCACCACCTCTGCACTGATGGTTCTCAAACCTACCAATTCAGACCTCCATTCTCAGCTCTAGATCAACAAGCATATCCCCCCTGCTTCCTGACAACTCCTCTGGATGTCCCATAGTCCCTTAGATGTATCATCCTTTCCAACTCCATATCCATGTCTTATTTCCAAAGAAGGCAAATCATATAGGTCACCCCCAAATAAATACCTAGGACCTAGGAATCACAGTTTTAAAGGACATGCAGAAAGGGAATTACATTGACCTTTTGGAGATGATTTAAGGACAATGTGAGAGGCCAGGGACAGCACTAATGTTCCTTCCAGATAAAAGTGTATACCTCTTAGTTTCCTGTTCTTTTTTATATCAGTTGCCAAATTGAATTTAAATAAGTATGTATGTTATTGAGTATTTATTGTCTGTCTATCCTTAGTGTCTACTCAGAAGCTGACATATAACTGGTGCTTAGTAAATATTTGTTGGCTGAATAAATGAATACCCCTCATTCAACAAACAAAATGCAGGTCCCTCTGAGGCTCCTCAGGTCTTTCCTACATTCATATTTGTGAAGTTCTGTGCTTCATTCTCCCAAACCAGCACCCCAGTGCACCCTCTTCCCACCTTCGACTTTTTTTTTTTTTCATATATTTTCTTGCCTTGGACTGTTTCATGGAATGAAGGCAGTGAGCTCCCCAGACTGGACCTTCTGCAAGGAGAGGTAGATTATGCACCTGTCAGGGTACCTTCAAGATCGTTTCCTGGATGGTAGATACTGATTAGTGACAGTGGGCCAGGGCAATGTATGGTTTTCTGTCTTTACCCACTAAGCTAGGACCTCAAGAGGACCATCAGTATGGGACGCGGCTTTCTCCTTAAAAGGCTCTGTAGTTTCTTTTCCTACAGGTAACCCAGGTTCCAAATGCTAGAGACTGGAGGGGGTATGAGCTGGCCTGTGAATGCACCTTGGCCACCCACTCTGCCCAGGGCTCCATGTCTTCTACCTCAGAGCTGCTGGGTGGGGGCAAGCAGTTGGCCAAGCCTGTGATTGCTGAGTGAAGTGTGAGTGGGAAGGTCAGGACACACCTCCATCTTACCTCTTCTACTAATCCCCCCATTTCCCAGGAAAGGATCTGACAAATTATCAGAGTAAATAAATAAGTTAGAAATAATAAATAGGGGTTCAGTGCCCAGGAGTGAGTTCAAGGCCAACTCCAACACAGGTGCATTCAGTCATGCAACTGCAATGTGACTCCTCCAAATTCTGCCCCACCTGGGCCATTTCTGGAGTCTCTAGAGGAGGAGGTCCCAGGACTTCTGCCTGGCCAGTGCCAGTGTGTGAGAAGTGGTTCCTAATGTCTCCATGGCTGAAGTCTCTGGTGTCCATATAAACCCCTTGAGGCTGCTGGTGAATAGTCCCTCCATTTCTCCAGAGCCAATGTTTGTTATCTCTGATGGGGCTTGGCAACTCAGCTCTGAGGTCTCCATCTCTGGCTGAGGCCCTGGCTAATGGGGCCCGGCGGGGAGGTCCGAGGCATCAAGATGCGCGAGTAAGGATGTGCAAAGCCTTGGAGAGATCCCTCAGCCTAGGCAGCCACAGGCAGTGGCTGAGAGGTGGTCCACGGTCCTCCAGGTGCTGTTGACGTCCATGAACGAGACTGCCTCATAGCGAGTAGGCCGACAGCAGGGCTGGCTGACTGGCCGGGAGCCGGGGGGCGGCTTCAGGGCCCCAGTGTCTAGCAGGCTGGCCAGGCTAAGGTCATGCGGGGTGCGAGCGCGGCGACAGGAGCCGCTGCAGAAACGGAAACGCACCAGTTCATCAGATCTGTGGCCCAGACCGAGAGCATGAACCGGCACCAGCTGCGAACGCAGGCGGCAGCTCCGCGTGCCCGTGGCCCCCGTGCGGCTGCCCCGGATCCCAGCACGCGCCGCGCGGACACCGCGGGGCGCAGCAGGCGGGGACACGGGTGGGGGTGGGGGCGCGGGCGGCGGGGGTACCGGTTGGGGAGGCTGTGGCTGTGTCCGCCGGGCTCTTCCGCTGCACAAACGGGCCGTGAGTTGCCCTGGAAGGAGATAAAGTCACACACTCCCGGGCCAGCCTCGCCCCTGCCCCGCCCCTTCACGCTCTCACCTACCCGGGAGGTGGCGGGTGGGCGGCGCCAGGACTGGCGCGGGGTCTTCGCGGGTGGTCGAACTGGGGGGCTTGGGGTCCAGGGAGGCCTCCGTGACGCTACTCAGCAGGACCAGAGCGGTCAAGGTCCGCCACAGGGCGGGCTGCGCAGAGGTGGAAATGGAGCCTCAGGAAGGAAGAGGGCGCCCTGGTGGGCTGTGGTGGGGCGAGCCCAAGGAGGGGCTGCCTTGGGCTGAGATCGGAGAGGGGGTTGGGTTCATAGTTGTTGGCGGGAAGTCTGGAAGGGCTTAGGTTCAAGACCTAATGGGTTCCAAGCTTTTGGGAGCTCATGGGAGGAATCGCCTGAGTGCATTGAGCATCCAGAGAAGTCCTGTTCCTTAACTCACATGCCTGGTTCCTCCCTGCCTGACCATTTTCCCTTCTAAATCTGGTCTCAGCCCACGCCAAACCCTGCTCTTCCTCCCCAGTCAAGCCACCCTTCCTCAGAACCAGCTGAGAGTGCCTGTGGGTCACTCACCTGCCACTTAGGCCGGGAGCAGTGGGGCAGTGCAGTAGGGCCTCCAAGTCCAAGTTCCATCTCTATCAACACCAGGAGCTCCCATCAGCCTTTGATGACCTGTTCCCCCACCCTTTTTGTGAGGCAGCTTGCATATTGAGAGATGAGTTATCTTTTAAGGAGGTCATCCTTCCACCTGAGTTTCTCCAAGCTACAGGGGACTTGGGTAGCTGGACTCAATCCAGGAAAAGTAGCTTCATTGAGAACCTTACTATGTGTTAGATGCTTTGCAACTATTTCCTCTTTCACAACTCCATGAGGTAAATAAATGATTTAATTCCCCTTTTCCAGATGAGCAAACAAGGCTCAGAGAAACTCAGAGATTACCTAAGGTCATAAGGGTAGACCCAGACAACCGCGGGGAGAGGGGTCCTGTTTTCCCAACTTTCCTGTTCTGTGTTGTGGGGCTGGAGCTGCCAAGACTGACTGGAGAAGATAGCAGTAGCTGGCCATCCCTGGTCCCACAGACAGCTTTCACCCATGCCACAGGGGAGGAATCTGAGACCTGGAGAAGAATTAGAGTGGCTGCTGGTCACTCAAGAGTTATATGATGACAGTGAGGCCCAGTGAGGCCTGTGCTGCCCACCAGGACCAGCACCACTGCACCTTGTTCCTCTGTAATATGTGTTCTGGACCCAGAGACATGCGTTTTCTTTTCTGTCCACAGACGTCCCTTACCAGCAGAAGGTGGAGGCTGATGGGCCCTCTGAAAACACAGGGCTTGGGCCATGGCTTCCTATGGCCACCAGGGGGCAGAGTCTGCCAAGTCTGCAGACTTGAAGGGGAGGTAGGCTTTTATATATTCTTTCTGCACTTAGGTCTGAGTCACTCCTAGGAGGACCAGGCTAGGCTGGCCTTCATAGCAGCCTGATCTCAGACCTGAGCCACCCTGAGAGCTTGCCCACATCTGTCTCCTCTTGTGGATCTGGTAGCCTGGCCTTGCTCCTAGAAGTTTCCCCCGTGAGCCATCATCCTTCCTGGTCCCAGGAGCCTTCCTAAGCCCCCACTGACTAGCAAGTCTCAAATGCCTCTCTGGGAACCCAGAACTTTCATGGGCCCTCATTAGCCAGCCTCCTCTTGGATCGGGCTGTCACTTACCTCTCCCTAGGACTCAGAATGCCTACACATCTGTGGAACAGATCTCCTCAGGCCTTCCTACAGGGCCAGGCGTTGGCTTATTGGCTAACTGAATTCAGAGTCCTCAAGACCAGGCCACTGACTGTTATCACCATGGAGCAACAAGCTTAGGGGCCTCTGCACTAGGGGGAGCTCAGGAGCAGGACCCCTGCTTGATGGCAGCTCAAGTCCCCTCTCTCTCTCCTGGGTCACTTGATCCTGAGCCCTTGCCACCCGCTTCCATCATCCCACTACTCACCATGGGTGGGGGTCCTGCACCGTTTTCTTCTAGGCACCTTTCTTGGGTCCAGTGCTGGACTTGCCCCCGAAGATCAAATGGCTCATACCCAGAGCTGTGCACCTGGCAGCACTTCTTTTAGCCAAAAGTGCGGCCTTGGCAGCCAGTCTGTGCCCTGTAGCGGCAGCGGGAGCCTCACATTACAGCAGGACTAGCGCAGTCTAACAAGGGACAAGAGGGACTGGAGGGGCTGGGAGAAGCAGAGGGCTGCTCTGAGGGCCCAGGAGAGGGAGGATGCCAGAAAAGTGAAGGCTGTCTTGCCTCTGCCCCCAGCCCCTGGAGCGTCCATCCAGGACTGGGACCAGGGTACCGGCAAGCGGTTTGGCTTACCTCGGGTGCCGGGTTCCCAACCCCAGTCACAGCCAGGGCTGGGACCCGAGGGACTTGCTGCTGGCGGAGCCCGCGGGCCGTGTCTGGGGGCCGAGCCCAACTCCATCCCTCAGCAGCCTCCTGCCCGCCGCCGTCCGGTGTCAAATTCCAGCCCCAGCGTCACCGGATCCCGGGGTGGGGCCCAGAGCGCCCCCGCCCCGCCCCACCTTTCAGGGCTCACCTGGCCGCTCCACCCGCCGGATCCGGTCCCCACTGGCTCCCCTGGGTCCCCCGAGATGGGGAGTAGACGCTGGGAGAGGACCCTCGGATGCAGAATAGAGAACGCGGGCACCGGGGAGGCGCGGAAACTGCGAGTTCGGAGTTTGTAGACTCGCGAAGTAGGGAGCTGGGAGGACTGGCCGAGGGCGGGAGAGAGCGAGCAAGGGCGGGGAGGGAGGGACAGGCTGGTCCCTGCCTTGGCCTCGGCCTTTGAGTTTGTAGACGTGGGGGTCCCGGCAGGTTGTCCTGCCGCGCCTGGGACCCTCAGATAGTTTCTCTCTTAATGGACGGGTCGACAGCCTCAGATGACAAGGCTCGCGCTGAACTTCCAAGGTCTGAGTCGACTACACCCACCACTCACCTGAGTTACCTGGGGCTTAGGGGAGCAGCTCGTGTAACATCGAAGTCACTTATCAGAGACAGTGGAAGTGGGAAGGAGGGCTTAAGGGGAAGGTCACAGAAGAGGAACATGTGGGCTGGAGCTTGAAGTAGGAGCTGGGGGGTGGCATTTCAGATGCCTAATTATGGCAGTTTGGCAGGTGGGCTGGGGATTCCATTAAGTAACATGGCTGGAAAGGTAATACTAGGGAATCTGGCCTTTTAGCCCCAAGACGCTGGAGACCATCAAAGGGTTCTGAGTGGAATGGTGTGGTCAGAGATGCATTTTGATGCATGTCTCTAGAGTTGTAGTGTGGTAGATAGTTTGGAGACAGGGAAGATGGAGGAGAGGTGAGATAGTCAGGAGACTGCTGGGCAGAGAGGATGAGGCCTGAGCAGGGAGTCTAGGGCTGCCTGGTCACAATCCTCCACACACCCCCATGAAAATTCAGTTGGTACTTGATTGGATGGGGTGACCAGTTAGGAAGGACAGAGGTGTGCCTTTAGCTTTGGTCTGGGTGACTTAGTGGAGAGCATACACTGTGGGAAATGAGGCTCCCTGGGAGATGGGCTGGTTAGGGGCAGGAGCTCATGAGTTCAGTGTTGAACATGTTGAGTTGGAAAGCCCTGTGGACGTTTCCTAGTGTAAATGTTCAGAAAGCAGCAGAATTTGTTGCCTAGAGCAAAGCGAGGGGAGCTTGGTTGGCAAGGACAATATGAAAATTGTTGACCAACTGACATACAACTGGAAGCTGTGGGTGCGAATGAGTGCTCAGGGAACGTGTATGAACCAGCTGCATCCAGTTATGCATCAGAATCACTGGGGATCTTTAAGAACTACCACATCCGGGCCCCACCCTGATCTGAATCAGTCACCAGGTCTCAGGGTGGGCAGGTGCAGTTTTCCAGATCTGCACAGGTGATTCGATGCACATCCAGGGCTCAGAACCACAGCTTTTGTGAGGGAGTCTTGTGTGATGCTGGGGACAACAGACTGCTGAGAAAGTCTGCTGCTGGGAGCTGTTGGAAGTGGCTGGGGAGGACAGCCATTCCCATGAAGCTGTAGAAAGGAGGCCAAGTGGTGAGCAGTTTGATCTTTTGCCTCCCATAACTTGTTGGCCAGGGGTAGCTTTTCTGGGACTTTTTCAGCCAGGACCACTACTTTGGGGCAAGCAGCTTAGTCCCTGTACAACTCTTGAGTGGGTGCCATCCAAGCTGGAACTGTGCATTGGAGTTGGGCATCACAGAGGCCCTGTTTTCAGCAGAGTATGAAGGGCATTTCTGGGTTTGACTGTCCCTCAGTCAGGGCCTCGCTTCCCCTCAGTTGAGGAGGGCTATGTCTGGGAACAGACTTCTGCAGTAAGGAGGGCATGTGGGAAGTCATATTCCTTGGGGTGGCCAAGACTTTGTCCTCAGGGGGTCACAGTGGGAGGGCCTGGGGCTCCCTGGACTCTTGGAGTAGGCAGGAGAGGTACAGGAAGCTCCTTCCACATGGCCTCAAGGGTGGGTATGTTTGTCCTTCCCAGGCCTGCTGGGGAGAGATGGATCCAATTCGAGGGCTCTATATTCGAGGTGGGGAGGGTATTCTTTCTGAAGTTCCCCAAGGGATGTTTAGAACTGGACTGTGTATCCCCTGTTCTGTGTGAGAAGGGGGGCTGGATGGAGATCATGCCTGTGTGCTAACTTTGGGGTCAAGACATATTCTTTCCAGAGCCAAGAAAGAGCCAAGCCAGGGTGTCAAGCGATGGTCTGTGGGCCTCTCCAGGCCAGGGGCTACCACTGGTCTTTCTTTCATATGGTAAGACCCCAGAGGTTCCTAGATAGCCACCTAGGTCCTGCACAGGACATGAGAAGTGAAGGGATCTGATACTCTGTGGGCTGGAGAGAAGGCCCTTGGATTTAGCAGAGTGGCTGGAGCCTTGGGTTCCTGTTTCTTCCAGGAAAGTTGGAAAAAGCAAAAAAGGAGGCCAAGTTCAGGGAAGATCTTTATTGCTTCCATGAGGGCTGCCTAGGATGGGTGTCGCGGCCTAGGTAAAGTCCTTGGGCCTCACTTCCCTCTGGTCCAGGCTAAAGGCAGAACCCAAGGACTTAGCAGTCTCATTGTGGAAACCCAGAACACCTGCCAAGTGGGTCAGTGCAGGCCGGGGTGGTGTCCCATGGATCAGGTGTGGCTGGGGAGGACAGCCATTCCCATTAAGCTGGGCTGGGCCTCCTGAGCTTTCGAGTTCTCTCGGCTTTAGCCCAGGGCTGTCCTGTTGGCTCCGAAGGGATGGCTCCAGGGTTTCCCTGCAGGACAGCTGGGGGCTGGTGAGTGGGAATACCCCATCTTCTCCCCAAGAAAGGCCAAACAGTGTGGTGAGCTGGGGGGGGGGACTGGCATGAGATGCTGCCCACCTCCCTATGGTCCTGGAGTGCAGCACAGACTGGTCACCGCATTCCTACCCTCCAGGGAGCTAACTGGTACCACTGCTTGATGGGCCCTCTAGTGGGCCTCTTCCTGCACAGCAAGTGGACCAAACAATCTCCAACCTTATTTAAAAATAAATTATCCCCCCCTCCCCCCTGCCCAAATTCACAAAATGATAATACACCAAACACTGATTGGAGAAACAATTCTGGCAGCAGCCGTGCTGCCTAATGTCCCACCTCCTGCATGCTGGGCCTGCTGGGCATAGCTAGTGGCCTCCTGGCCCTCTGGCTTCATGGACCCAGGCTGAGAGAGGCTGAGTGCTGGTCTCTGAGGCTGGCTTCCGAACAGGCACAGCTCTGGCTACCCCACCAAGGCCTCACTGCCCCTGGGGCCTCTTGGCACTGTCCTTCTCTGGGTCTGAGGACTCCTGCACAGGTGGCTGCTACTTGCTCTGATAGCACCTAGGCCTACGTGGCCAAGTGCTGGGCCCACTCAGATGCCACTGCTTAGGTCAGTGATGACATGTGCTTTCACCAATTTCTTCAGGAACTCCTTCTCCCTCTGGATGTTGTGAGTCCAAGACTAGAAGAAAAGAGATGGAGAAGTGATGAAATAGGCTGCTCAAGGGGCTGCTCTCTACGGTCCCTAACCTCTGAAGCTCTGTGACTAGAAATCTAAGGCAGAGACGACTCTGCTGCAGTGTGCCTTAACTCATCCCTCTTCCCAAGACTCAGAGAAAACAACCTTTGCATCCCACCTTCTTCATTCCTTCAGAACCTGCCCTTGACTTCTCCCAAGTCTGGGTGGTGTTAGCTTCCCAGTCTCCTCCTCAGTTCTGAAGGAAGGACCTGTTTCCTCAGACTCCATCCCACCTAGCTAGTCTGGAAGCACCTAGGTTCTATACACCCTGAGGGCAGGCAGGTGAGTCACTGAAGTCCAAGAGCAAGGGGGTGGAGTCACTCTGGCCTGATGGAATTCACTCTCCAGGCCTGGGGATGCTGATGAAATCCTGCCTCCCTGATCACAGGAGCCAGAGAGCCTGAGGAGCAGAGCCTAACTTTAAAAAACAAAAAATTTAATTGACAAATAATAATTACATATATATTTATATTTATTTATGGGGTATAATATGATGTTCTGCTATACATATACACTGTACAATGATTAAATCAAGCTAATTAATATACCTATCACCTCATACTTTAAAAAAATATTTTTAAAGTTGTAGGCAGACACAATACCTTTATTTATTTATTTTTATGTGGTGCTGAGGATTGAACCCAGTGCCTCACAAATGCTAGGCAAGCGCTCTACCACTAAGCCACAACTCTAGCCCCTCATACTTTTTTTTGTGATAAAGACAATTGACTAGTATTAATAATTTTTTTTATATATAGCTCTGTCTATCTAATTATATTTTTGCAATATGAGGGACTGAACCTAGGAACATCACCATTGAGCCACATCCCCCAGACATTGTTTTTAGTACTGGGGATTGAACCCACAGGTGCTTTACCACTAAGCCACATCCCCAGCCCTTTTATTTTTTACTTTGAGACACGGTCTCACTAAGTTGCTTAGGGCCTTGCTAAGGCGCTGAGGTTGGTCTTGAATTTGTGATCCCCCTGCCTCAGCTTTCTAAGTCGCTAGGTGTGCACTATGGCGTCTCACTAGAAGAGGCTTTTTTTTTTTTTTGTTTTTTTTTTTTGTTGTTGTTAATGTGAAATTACAAGGAAGATGCAACCTTTCAGGGTTTCCTGGATAGGACTCTTCCCCATCCCCAGGACTCTTACTAGGAAGTTTGAATGACCAAGTCCCTCTAAGAATGAAAAAACTGTTTGAATAAATGAAGGAATGAATGTCAATCCTGGCTTTTACCCAACTGTAGCTTTTGTCAACGCTGAGCTTCACCACACCTATACTCACAGATAGTATTTACTGGTGCCAAGAATTTAGGGCTCTGTCAGCCCTTATTTGGTCCAGTCAACCATCTCCAACCTTCTAAATCTGAAACTCGGGCAGTTATCAGCAGAATTCCCTATATTCCTTGGCTCTGAACTTCTTTCTACTTGAGGGCAGGGAGTGCTAGGCACAGAATAAGTGCTCAATAAACACATTGGTTGAATGGAATTTAAATTTTATAGGCAAGAAAACAGGTTCAGAAGAATGGCAGGGTCAGGATTGAAGCACATGTAGAAACTTACAAAACTACTTATTCCACCTCCCTCTCCTGGGGAGAAATAACCAATTGATGGGTCAGTTTCAACAGCACCCACTAGGAGTCACTGAGGGGTAACAGGTCAGCAGAAGACCGAATATTTAATGACACTAAGAAATTATTGTCAACTATTTTAGGCATGATAATAATAATTAAAAAAATACTCTTTATCTTTCAGAGTAACCCAATGAAGTATTTATGGCCAGAAAGATCTGCTGAGACCTGTCCAAGTCATCACTGGGGTTGGGAGCACGAAAGGAAGGACAGACGAAACAATGGCCATGCGTGGGTAACTGGTACATGGGAGCTAAGTATATTATTCTCTATGCTTATGTTTGACACTTTTCTCTTTTTTTATATAGTAGTTATTGCCAATATTTTATTTTTATCCATGGATTATAACTATACATAATGGTGGGATTCATTATGTCATATTTATACATGCATATGATTTGATTAATTTCATTCTCTAGACGATTTCTTTTTATAATGAAAAAGTGAACACAAAAGTCTGCCCTGGATGTAGCTCTCAGACCAGGTGATGCCCTTCTCTCTGGTGCTCTTTTGCTAACTCCCTCTTCTTTGTAGAGAAGTTAGGAGGCCCCTGGAGCTCTGCACTGCTGTGGAAGGATTCTGGACACAGACGCTCAACTACTGCACAACCCACCTTCTCAGCAGGGTCTCCTGCAGCTAGCTCCTTTTCCTACCTTAAAAAAAAAATTCTGAGGAATATTTTATTTTTTTGTGGTGCTGGAGATCCAGAGCCTCGTGTGTACCAGGCAAGCACTCTATCACTGAGCTATGCCTCCAGCCTTCTACCTTTGTCTTTGGCTCCTCTTACCGAGCTACTGGTATCCAGGTGGCTATTCTAACTACCTGTGCTTCTTCCTTGCTCTCCTCTCTCTGGGCAATCACTACTGCCCTCCTTATATCTGAGCGAGCAGTTGTTCTTACTGCTCACAGTCTTTTTCCAGCCCAGATTCTTTGCTGTGTACAGGACTCCAACAGGAACTGCTTCACCCTGCAGCTACTGCTCAGCCTCTCCCCACCCAGTCTCTTTTACATCCTGACAGCACTTACCATGTGCAACTCCTGCAGTCTCTACCCGCCATTCACTACCTCACTACCTTTGGTGCTGTTCTCACTGCAGCTAGTATCCTCTCCTAACTGTACTTCCAGAGGCCACTTCCCACAGGAATAGTATCCTTATAAGAGACTCAGGGGGACTCCTACACTCTCCACCATGCATGAGCACAGTGAGATGACAGTCATCTGTGTCAGGAAGTGGGTCTTCACCAGACACCGAATCTGCTAGCACCCAGATCTTGAACCTCCAGCCTCCAGGACTATAAGAAATAAATTTCTGCTTTCTAAAAGCTACATAGACTATAGTATTCTGGAATAGCAGCCTGAACAGACAAGACAGAACCAGAAACCTAATACAAAACAGATGGTAATTGAAGCCATGGATGGGGATGTAAATCTGGACAACATGTACAGTGAGAAGATTGTGTGAGATGGAGCCTTAGCTAAAGTTGATTCTTGCTGGGTAGACCAAACCTATGACGTGAGAAAGAGAATGAGAGAAGAGTTAAGTGAAATAGGAAGAACACTAGAAATTACTGACTCAGAAGCCTAAGCAGGAAGGAGTGGTCAACACATTATCATCATCATAAGTGTTTTTGTGCTGGTTGTGGTAGTACATGCCTGTAATCCCAGCTATGTGGAAGGCTGAGGCAGGAGGATTGTCAAGTTCAAGCCAGTCAATGCAACTTAGTGAGACTCTTTCTCAAAATAAAATAACAAGTGTCGGAGTGTAGCTCAGTGGCAGAGTGCCCCTGGGTTGGTTCAATATTTAGTATTGCTGGGATGGGGGAAGTGTTCCTGAGAGATCATGATTTGGCGGTTTGACACAGGTCACCTTCAGGAGACGTGTGTTAGGTGGGGGCAAAGGGCTGAATGGGAGTGAGGAGTGCAACGGGGATGCTCCAGTGGGAGCTCTGGCTTTCTCCCTGGAGGGAGGGTTGTAGGAACCTGTGGAGTGGAGCGCCAGCACAGTGTGGTGGAGCTGGAGAGGGGCAGATAAAGACACTGATGGGCAGGAAATAGAGTTGGCAGAGTCATGGAGATATGAATCTGCACAGATAAGAGATTTCTTCCAACCACCCTCCATCAACCAGATGTAAGGGCAGAGAAGCTGCTCAGGGCACTGGCCTGAGATTTCCAGGTTCAGGCTGGGGTCAGTGGAAGGCGGGTTGTAGAAGCTAAGGTGGAGAAAGAGTTCAGATTTTCCACATGGGATCCTCGCTGTGATGCCAGGAGAGGCCAAGAGTCTAGGAGAGCTGGAACCTACCTGTACATGTGGATTTCCCGGAGAAATTCTGGGTGTTAAAGGGTGTCCATGCTTGGTCACAGGGAAGGGTGAAAGAGGTACAGGTGCTCTTCCTGAGACTGAGGGGCAATGTTTATTTGTGGGTTGTACAAGGGGCAAATGAGCCCTCTGGGAAAAGACAGGGATCACAGAGAAGGCCCATTTGACCTGGTGCCAACTAATGTACTATGGGTGGGGGTGCAGCAAGGAAGGGCAAGGTAGAAGACAAGGGGAGGGAGGGCCCCATAGAGAGAAAGAGTTCAAGGAAAAGCCTGAGGAAGGGGTTGGGTTCAGGGGAGAGGAGCAAGTAGGATGTTGGTGGTCAGAGGCCTACATGAAGTGGACCTCCCGTGCTTCTGCTTAGCTGAGGGAAGGCAGGGCTTTCCTGGGCAGCTCTGGGCAGCTGGCTTGTCACTTTACCACTCATTTACATGCATCAGAGTCTGTCCTCTGTGCTGAAAGCCCCCCTCCCTTGGCTCTACCCCGCACCCAGCCCCGAACCTCTTTGATGGCTGCCATGCGCACGGTCTCATAGTAGTGCAGGGGCGCGTTGGGTGTGCTCATGTCGTAGCCAAAGCCTGCAACTGCCACCTCATCACAGCCATGTAGCGCCATGGTCACTGCCACACTGCCAAGGGTTGGGATGTTCTGGAGAATGGGAGAGGAGGCATATGGAGCTCAACCTTGGGGCTGAGACCACAGATAGGCTCTATGGAGCTACCTATGCTCCACTGCCAAGAAGAGCCCTCTTCCCTGAAGACTACCTCCCAGGGCCACTGCCACCCACCCTATCATCCACTCCTTTCTTCCCAAGGATCCTCTGGCCCAATTCTCCCTCCTTCTCCCAGGGGCCCAGGAGCCTCACCCCCCTGCCCATCAGGCCGTTGTTGAAGGGCAGTCCGATAAGGGTGAAGGCGGCCTCTTGGATGAAATACGGGTTGAGGATGCGAATCTCAGGTGGCTCCTTGGGCACTCGAGTGGCCACCGATTTCCAGAAGCCATCCGATGCACTCTGTGGACACAGTGCAAGGGGTCATGAGCTGGGTGTACAGGTAATGATGGGTCTGGGTGAGTGGCAGGGACCTAAGTGTGTAGATAAATGAGAAATGAGATGGGGGTGAGGTGTAGATGGGCAACTTGGGGCCTGCGGTATAAACCAGCTGATTTAGGAAGGCCTTGGCATGTGGCAGGGACGTGAGATGTGTGACAGAAACATGGTAAGTGAGGGGGAAGGGTGAGCATGTGGTGGGGCCTGGGTGTGTAATGAAGGACAGGAAGTGAGCTGTGGGGCAGGGCACGGGGTACAGGACACTCTCAGAGAACAATGCTCTGGCCTGAGGGGGTCCTTGGGCCAATAGGAAGAGCTGTGGTCCAGCTGTCCCGCCTGCCTGAGGCAGCAGCTGAGGGGCCCTCTGGAGCCTGCCCTCTCCCTCCTATCTGCTCTGCTGAGCTTGCCTCCTTTCCCTTCTGCTGTCTCTCCTGGCTCCCTCAGTCACCTGTGCTAAAGTGAACCTGAAAAATAAAGACAGAGCGTGAGCTGGCATAGAACAGCAGAACAGTGCGTAAACCCCAGTTCTGCCACGGACTAGAGTTGGGTGACTTCAGCCTCATTAACAAGAGTTCATTCTTCCCTCATGGACCACGGTCACGTGGTCCCGTAACAGCAAGGCATCACCTCTGAGCCTGACACCTGTGTCTATTTCAAGGCCACAACCACCCACCTGCTTTTTTTTTTTTTTTGGCAGTGCTGGGATGGAACCCAGGAGCTCACACATACTAGGCAAGTGCTCGACCACTGAACCACATCCCCAACCCAACCTCTCCCCCCCCCTTTTTTTTGTGGTGCTGGGGATTGAACCCAGGGCCTTGCACATGCAAGGCAAGCACTTTACCAATTGAACTATATCCCCAGCCCCCAACCTCTTCTCTTTAACCTTTCCCTTTCACCCAAACACAGGGAGACCTCTGATTCCCACAGCCTTTCTTGGTCTAGACCCCAAAGTAAATCACTTCAACCAGTTTTGTGAGGTCCCTTAGTACCCTGTCCCTTGTCCTTCTATTGCCCATACTGGGAAACACTGACCTTGGCATCACTCTAACTTCCCTTTTCTACCCTTACAACTGGGTGTCTGAGTACTGCTGGAGGAAGACCCAACCAGCCCCAGAGCCAGGGGCATTACTGTGGGCTCCAATGTAACTTATTACCAGCCAGTTTACTTGCCTAAAACAAACAAAACAAAACAAAACAAACAAACAAAAAAACAAAATCAACAAGACTTAGAATGAATAATTTAATGCACCAAGAGGAAACAACCCCCAGGTATAAAACAAAAAGAGACCTCATTTGCAATCATAACAAAAAAATCAAAAACTGAGTGGTAAATCTCAGAAATCTGAGAGAATTATAGAAAGAAAACTATGATCCTTTATTGAGACATAAATGGTTGACTTGAAAGAAAGGGAGACAAACCGCATTCCTGGAGGGAAGGCTGAACACCACCAACAGGAGGCCGGCTCCTCCCAGACACAGGCTGAACACAATTCTAAGAACAATCTCAAAAGGGTTTTGGAAATTTACCCAAAGGATTCTAAAAACCTATCCAAGAGAATTAAAAGGGAAAAGTAATGCTTCTCACCATTTATAAATGAGGTATTAGGGTATATTATGGATTTGTTCATGTTACAACACTATCATACGTATAAGAATCAAGACACAGATTACTGAACAGAACAGCATCAACACATGTACAGGTTTTTTTTTTTAATATTTTTTAGTTGTTGATGAACCTTTTTATTTTATTTATTTGTATGTGGTACTGAGAATCGAACCCAGTGCCTCATGCATGCTAGGTAAGCACATTACCACGAGCCCCAGCCCCAGCCCATGCATAGGTTTTGATAAAGGAAGTGCCACCATCTGTGGAA